CTGTTATTGTTTTGATCCAGAGAGCTGCTGTAGAACAAATGACATCATTACGTTTTACTACGATGTGCTGAAATGTGGTTTAACAGGAGGACAATTAGAAAAACATCCAACAAACTGACTTTAAATGCTGCCGTCTATTTAATGTTTGCTCATCAGTGACGATGAGCCTCCGGTCGTACCAGACTCAGTGTCACGGCCTAATGAGTGAGGATGGGTTGAACTGTTTATGAATTAAAGCTTCATTTATGAGGGGAGTCGGGGCCTTTGGGTGGGCTTTGTTTTCACTGTAGCCTGATTCATGTGGACGTTTTGAGGCTAATGAGGGATGGTAGAGTAACAAAGCTAATTCGGATAGCTTTATTTTAGCATAGATTCACCTTCCATAGAGAAAAACAGAAATAAACTTTATTAATAAGGCAGCTTTAGTGTGATCGTGATTTTAGATTTTGACCCAAATATCAACTTCTAGAAAAATGAGTAGATCCCATTATGATTGTCATCTTATATGTTTATTGTGACCTTATGATGCTGTCGTGTGACTCTTACTATTATTATTATATATACAGGACATGATTAGTGTCTGATTCTGTTCATATTGACTGTATTTGTCTGCAGGTGTCTGAAGGATTAGTGCTGAGGGATGGATCGCGGCTCAAGTACCCCATAAACGGTATTGTTGGGTTTTATTAAGTTATTGTTCAGTAAATACATGAGACTTATAATATATTGCATTTTTAAAGGTTGTTTCATCTGCTTGAGTTAAAAAAAAATCTCAGCTATAGCACAAGTGTGAAATGTTTTATTGTACTGCAGCACATTAATCTTATATTTCACAGCTATTCTTCGGTGTTACACGTTTGGTTCACATTTGTGAAGCCCTACTGTAGTGAAATTCTTTGTTTATTTTGAGGAAGCTCTAAAAGCCGTGTTTAGCTGCGCTGGCCTGACCTTGAACTAAAGTTTACCAAAGTTACACAATTCTCAGCTCTTCCAACTTCTACCTATTTTTTTTCCATCCCAGCCTCTGTCAGTCTGCTTATCTCTCTCCCCCGAGCTACAGCGTTCAGTTTTGTTTGTTTCCCTCCCTCAGGTTTTCATGCCTTGTGCATCAGCGGCGTGTTGCTGATGCTGTTACTGGGACTCGGGGCTCCTATGGGGTATCTGTTTGAGCTGCTGGTGCCTCTGGCGGTGTGCGCAATTGCAGTGTCATTCCTGTTCTCGGTCTACCTCTACATCCGCTCCTTCTGGGCTCCTTCCCATGCTCTCGCTTTGGGGGGCAACACAGGTGAGAAGTGAAGGTTCATCATTAAAGGAATCCACCTTTAAATACAGTTTAAAAACAGCCAGTGGCGATGCACCGTGCAATTGTAGGCCTTTCCATTGTTCGGTGGAAGATTTTGGTATTCCTGTGGGTAATTATTTAACAGCCGAGCTCTGCAGGAGCTCGCAGGCATCAGCCAGCGAGTGAATGCTCTGTTTCTAGCGAGCTGACCCCGCTGCACTGAGCTCTGCTGCATCTGAAGGCAGAAAGCATCCACTGTTGTGATTCAGGTTCCCAGATTACTTTTATTGATGTTTGTGAAAAGGAAAAAACGAGCAAGACTACAGCAACAACATGTCGTCTTCAGAGTCAGGCCACGAATTCTAATCTACAGAGAAAGTAGGCTTTAGAAAACAGAAACAAGATGCTGGTGCTGCATTTACAGCCCCGCTCTAGTGCCGGGACTCATCTGCATCAACTGTAGTGTGTGTTTAGTGCAATTAGCAAATGCTAAATAACCGAGGAGCAAATTTGAGTTAAAATGGTAACAAGCTAAACTGACAGCAGCAGAGAATAGAATAAGAGTTTTATTGCTATTTGCACAGTTACATAACAGGACAGGTACATTCAGAATCAGAATCAGGAAAACTTTATTTATCCCCGAGGGGCAATTAGGTGGGCAATTGCCCCTCAGGGATAAATAAAGTTGGAATTTTTTGTGCATTTCCTTCAGTTATCTTTATATATAGGGGAAAAAATAAAGAAAAAGATAAGAGCAGCAGGAATTAAAAAACAAAACAAAAATATACATTATAGAAATAAAATAAGTACATATTATAAAAGAAGAGTGTTAAAAAGTTAGCATAGTAGACGTACCTGCTGAGCATCAACGCATTGTCGCTGTGAGCTAGCACGCTGACGTTAGCATTTAGCTTAAACGATTCTGTGCCTCAAAGAGCTGCTAGCGACAGTAGCTTCCGCTCACTATTACTGTTCCTCTGCATCATATATCAATGGTCTACATATGTACACAACCTAAATCAGCTCACAGCGACAGGTCTAGTGCTTCAGTTCTGGGTTTATTTTGTATATAAAAGATGGATCCAGTGTAAAAGTGACTTAAACCTGCAGTCTTTCTAACAGCCAGCAGGGGGCGACACCTCTGGATCAGATTGTATTGAAGTCTATGAGAAAATAGTTTGACTCGCCGGATGTAGACTGGCCAAGCGTTTCATGTAAATTTCCTCTCCTCTTTCGCCATCTGCATGGAACCATTTTCAAAACCTCCTTCACTACAGGAAGCAACAACCTCCAAGCTACACCTACATACTGGATGAATTGTTTTGTTTTCCACATAGATTTAGACGAAGCAATAAAGCTGCACTGCTTGTGTTTTTTGCAGAGTATTAACTATTTTCATGACAGTGCCCATCCCAAGACCGCTGTTATTGGTTCAGGGAAATACAAAAGGATAATAAGGTGCAGTCAGACCATTCTGCAGCCTTTCCACAGTGCTGTAGACATAGATCTGATATGTGAGACTAATGCAGAAAATGGCCCTGCTTCTCCCTTGATTTTTAACCTCAGTAAATATTGTTCCAATGAATTAATGGTCTCAATCGCTCGTTTAAGGTCTTCTTCAGTACAGCATGATGTTCATTTTGTACGTTACGGTTCCATTTAGAGTAAAACAGACTGTGAAGCAGCATCTATTTTAGGCCGTGGCTACTTGTGTAGCGTTCCTGAGCTCTCAGTTAGATCAGCCCCATCCAATTCACATCCTTTTCAAGAAACCAAGATGGCAACAGCCAAGTTACACAATCGAGGCTTCAAAAATGGTAGCTCATACACCAGTGGATGAGGTCATGGTGGCTATTGTTCCTCTGGGCAATGTTGAAAGACATTCTGAGAAATGTTGGGTTTATATCATCTAGTAACATGTGCATTAATGATCCATAGAGCCATTTTAGCAGCAGACTTTACAGCATTGGTGGTGCTAATGTAAGACCGATCAGTCAGTATGAACATTACCTGGACCGTTGAACTGGCACATCTAAATGGAATGCAGCCATCAGTTAAGGCTCTTGATTACAGCGCTGTTTGTTCCTGTCAAAATGTCTTGTGTAAGAATGACCTATTAAACAGTTTATGACCATAAATAGGTTTCACTGTTATAACTAATTGCTGCTATATATTTGTGACTGACGGTCTAACTGTAGATTACAGCTTATATTCAGGGGTGTCCAATCCTGGTCCTCGAGGGCCACAATCCTGCATGTTTTAGATGTTTCCCTCTTCCAACAAATGATCAGGATCGTTATCAGGCTTCTGCAGAGCTTGATGATGAGCTGATCATCTAAAACATGTAGGATTGTGGCCCTCGAGGACCAGAATTGGACACCCTTGGCTCTTATTAGTTCACTTTTCAGCATGTACCTGCCGACACTGAAAGCACAGAATTATATGTAATTATCATCTCTGTGCATTGTTTTTTTTTCATACATTCATCCCTCTGTTTTGATTTAGGAAACCCTCTGTACGACTTCTTCATCGGACGGGAGCTGAACCCCCGGATCGGAAGCTTTGACCTGAAGTATTTCTGTGAGCTCCGACCGGGTCTGATTGGCTGGGTGAGTGTGATCTATCAGACACCAAAGAGTAGCTTTATTGAGTTTATTACTGCTGTTTTCAGCAAAAACAATAGAAAAAAAGCATTCTGAATTACCAAAAAGAGGCCGTCAGTTTCATTTTTTTCTGTATTTGCAGTTGCTGCTATATGTCGGTTTGTTGTGACGTATGTTTAAGTCTGCTTTAGGGAGAAGCTCTGGATGCATCAATTAGCGTTGCTGGTGATTGCACGGCCAACAGGTGGCGATGTTGCTCTCCGATCTTCAGCGATCATTTGCAGTCGGTGACTTTGACACAGTCAGAATTAGAAACTTTTCTCCCCGATGACCTGACACAGTGAGAGATTTGTTGGAGGACAGGGGTGCACATCATTATCTGTGTGTGACTCATCACACCAAACAAGACAAAATGTAGATTCCCCCAGCGAGGATTACAAATAAGATTCCTAAAATTACAACGAGGTTCCCATTATCTTCGCCAGTCACAGAGGCCGCCAGACTGGGACGGCGAAAGGATTGAAAAACGTCGCTGTAACGAGCCTCTTCTCTCTGTCTCTGTATTTACAGTAGGAACAGTAGAACCGCTGCACATCTGAATGCTTTAAAGCCGTGTGCGTAGGAGAGCACAGAAAAAGCTTCCACCAACTAGACAGTGTGTGGGTTATTTTCATTTCCTGGTGAATGTTAAAAGTACTTTAAACATTCAGCAACAACTACAATCGCTGGTGATGTTGAAAAATTATAAATGGATTTTATTTGGGATGCAAATTGCAAATATTGATTCTTGGATATGAGTCAACTTCATATTGAAAAAGCACAGTTTGAGTCATGAGCCTGTTCTCTGTATGAAATATTAATTGTCCTCATGCATGTAGATTTATTATTAATTTCGACGTTAGTGAACGTGTGCAGCTTTCCATCATATCGTCACATCGCTCTGCACGCTTCATGGCGCTTTGCTAAAAATGTATACCTCACAGTAGAATAAAAGTAAAGCATTATTTCCTGCACATAGACACACTGAGCCTTTACATTCAGAGAGTCTGCACGTTCTTCTGTAATAAATGGTTTATTTAGAAACAAAACAGAAATGGCTGCTGTGGGAGGAATGAATGCAGCCTCAGAGTCTCACAGAGGTATCGCAGCTTTCTCGGTATCGATCAGGCATCATTCTGCAAGAAGAAAAACACGGATGACAGCCGGGGCAGCACTGATTAGCCGTTTAATCGATTAGCTGAATGGCAGCGACGGTTGGCGCTGTAATTATTTGGACACTTGCATATTTTTAGCTCTTCGGGCTCGGCGCTTCAGTTTGACATGAAATAGTGCGTAGCATGTTAAAAGTCTGGGTTTTAATTTATGTAGGTGTGTGTTAATATTAAGAGATTCACCGTATCTGCTGCAACAGGTAAAGTGAATAACATTGATCGTCTCATTACAATGCAATGTTCTGGGCTCCTGGCATTCGCAGCATGACGTGCACCGCCCACCTAAACCGTGTTCCAGACCAAGCGCACCCCCCGTGGCACCGGTGCTCCCAGACAGCAGTGGCTTTCTCCGGATGTTTCACCCCCTTTTCCCTCCGCTGCTGCATTTAACCGCTGCACAAGCTGGTCGGGAACAGCTCGAAACAACACAACAAAGAGCCAAAGGTTCTGACCCGACCTTCAAATCCCCCCAGATCCCAGTCCGACACCAGCATTTACAGGATGTGCCGGAAGCCCACAACACCACAGGAGACCCCCTGACTGCATGACCTGGCAGGTCAGAGCAGCTTTGGCAGCACGAGAGGGGAAAATACACAATAACAGACAGGTGGTGTTAATGTGGTGGCTGGTCGGGTTTAGCCAGAGTTAAACATACAGTCATCCTGAAATTTAATCATACCCCCCATTAAAGAAGGAACGAAAATGAATGAAAATCATGGCATTGCTTTTGAATTGTGGTTCAACAGAAATATATTTATATATATAAAAAAAAAGCATGATGGGACCCGTAAACTAATATTCTGTTGAACAACCATTTGAGCCAATCAGGTGTTTCCTGTAACTCTCAGTCAGACTTGTGCACCTGCTGACAGGTATTTTGATTTCACTGCTCATCAGCAAAGGGCTCTAATTTGTCTGGGACAGTTTGATTTATTTTTTTAAATTATTCTTTTCAACCACAATTCAAAAAGCAACGTCTCATTTCACTAAATTGTAATTTAGCAAATTTTTATTTATTATTACTTTTTTCAGTTTCTAATTATTTGAGTGACTGTTGTGAGTTTTGCCTTTTCTTTAATGGAACGGGATGAATACATTTGAAGATGACTGTAAATTGAACAGTTTCTCGTGAGTTCATGCACAAAAGAGTTGATTGAGAGCTGCCGTTTAAATGGAGGT